TACTTTGAGACCAAAGATAATTAAAAATATATAAGTAAATATATTAAGCAACAGTCTCTTAGGGTGCAATATATCTTAGCTTGAACAGGTTTGTACATATAATTTACTATAATTAGCTATACAAAGGGTGACTACAGAATGACTCTTTTCCAGTGACATAATGTGACGAATATATTAAATATTTATATTGTAATTACATTTTGAGGCTCTAACTCTCGGACTGAAAAATATTAAATGTTAAACTTAAATTATGAAAGGTTTACAATTTATAGAGGTTTGTTTTCTTCTATCAATCAAGATTCAAGATTCCATTCATGATATACAGTATAGCACACACATTTGCATAATCCCTGTCTTGTCTTGAAATGAATGGATTTGAGACTACTGCAGAAATCATCATTGTCTTCAATCTCCATACAATCGCATGTCCATGGTATGGCCTCTCCAGACAGAGGTCAGGAGATCCCTCTTAACTCCACATTTTCTTTAACTGGAATCTGTTTCCATAAATGGAGCTATGATGTGAGCAGACACTGTAAGCAGCCAATATGAAATATGGTGTTTTGGCTTTGGTCCATCAACAATTCCTGTGCCACTCCAGGGGGTCTGTTCTTTCATGCAGACTTCAGTTTACTCTAGACTCTAGCTGACTCTAGTTTTTAACAGTCTGCAGCAGGATCGCATCACAATGTTTCCTGGGCCTGACAGACCCAAAAAAGTATCCACTATAGAAAATGAACAGATCAGTCATTAAGAATCACCATTGAATTCACTGAAATGGAATGTTATCTGATGTTCTTCGTTTTGTTGATACTTCAAACATAGAAGAACCAAGCTCTTCTTGTGTTTATTTTTCTTTCTGTGCAAATGACGAACATAAACAATATAAGATAATTACATCTCCCTTCATTCAAGGAGAATGCAGAACTGAATGTTTTACATTAGGGTATAACAATTACAGGAGTAAAGACAACTAATGATTATTACTGTTGATTGATTATTTGATTTGATTATTTGAAATTTGGCACTTGAATTTTTAGATTTCTGCTTCAAATTTGCATAAATGTTCCATTTAAAAAACATAGACCCAAAAAAGCCAACAATACACGTGACACAAGAAGCTATTAACCTTGACAGTGACAGTGGTCACTGTAGGTTATTGGATTAATCCTTTACATTTTATTATTAGAGAGTCACAGTGGCAAGAGCCTAAACCAGCAAACAGGTGCAGGACACTGAGATTCAAATGTACCCAAGAGAGGATAAACAGTCCATCAGAGGGCATGCACACTCTAGAGGCAATTTAGATACACCAGCTAACCTTGAATCTTTCAGCTGTGGGAGGGAGTCAGAGTACCCAGAGAAACAATCATATACACTGAATGTTCCTTTACAAAATGAGCCTGTACCTGCATTTTGCAGAGTTTCGATGTTCTGAGGCCTTGTAGCAAGCTCTGCAATAGTCTGCACAAACTGCGTTCTGGCTTTCTGATACTGCTCAAACACTGGAAAAAAAAGAATAAATAGTTACGTATACATCCAATACTCTGGAAATGCTGTGAACATTAACTGGGGAAGAGAACAATACTGTTAGTTCTCATTTTAAATGCAACCCAAGATTCACTCATTTAATTTATTGCTCAGCACAAATAACTGTCTCCTCTTTCATAAAACACTACAAAAATGAAAACCAAGGTGTGAAAACAGCCCATCAATACAGACAGCAGCTATATCATCCTGCAACTCACAACTGGCAGCCCACTGGAGCTCAGCAGGTGTGAGTCTGGCCAGTACCTGGATTGGAGACCTCCAGGGAAAGTAATCAGGTACAAATGTTTAGATTAGTGCTAGTTTTCAAGCAATACACAATTTTTCCTGATTAGAAGGCTTTTCTAATGTAGAAAGACTGCTTCCACACCCATCACAACTTCAGTGTCAATCATGCTAAGATGATTTCTTACATAGACAACACACGATAAAACAGGTAGGGGTTTTGTCAATGAACAATATTGGATGGTACTATACATACTGTACATTTACATCTGTGATTATTTAAAAACAAGGACAATGCTATTTTACGCTTTATTTCTATTAATACAGAGCTGGTGGACAGAACTGTAGGAGATTTTATACAATTTTCTTTCCATTTTGTTTGACTTTCTAGAGATTTCTGTCATTTCCCAAGTTTCAATGTGAGACAGCAGCATTATGTGTTTGACATAATACCTAAACAAATTAACATTTTAATTGCTTATTTTCTGATTTCCTTTGAGACTCAAAACTGTTCTGGAATTTGCGAAAAAATATTCTAGTCTCTTTACGTTACATTGTATATCTCTATACAGTTTTACTTGGTTCCAGATCATTAGTCAATTTGAAATTAAGTAGCCCTGGAT